AGGCTTTTAAAATTCGTTTTTAGCAGGAATATTAATCTTTTTCTTTTTGGTTGTAAAAAGGATATTGAATAAGTCTATAATATTTGAATGCTTAATTTTTTCCTTATGATAAAGTACCTCGCCTTTATCATTCCACTTAAGAATATCAGGATGTCGCTTTAAAATAGCTAATGCATTTTGTGCTTTTCTTCTCATTCGTAAAGGTACACTGTCTAAGATAACAGTAGAATAATCAGTTACAGTCATCTGTTTGTCGCCGTCTGTCACAGATGAAGGGGGCTTCTTCTTCCTCTTTCACACTTTCTTGATCTCAGCTGAATCGTCTAAAGAATTTTGTGAGTCGTCTTTAGGAGGTTTAAAGGGTGAATTGTATTCCTTTAAGTTCAATTTCTTTTGTAAAAGTTCATAATAACGCACTAATTTCTCACGATCGTCAACTGAACTGTTTAAAATATGCATCATGGCTTTATCCAATTCACTTAACTGTTTATCAGAAATGGTATGCTTTGTCATCATCTCTTCTGGAACTAACACATATTTCTTAGTGAACTCCATTGATTAGTCCTGTAAGAACACTGAGAGCAGCAGGAATCAAAACGTTTAGAAAACCTCCTTTTTGTAAAATTAATTTTCGTTTCTTCACAAGAGAAATCTTACGATTTCCTAATTTTCGTAAAGTTGTTTTATGCTTACAGAGAGACTTCTTTTGTTGCTCTGACAATGGAACGTTTCCTTTGAGTATGTTTAAACTACATTCGCATATAGCTTTTATGCAATTGATATTAATTTTCTTTAATAGCTGTTTCCGTAACTTTAACGGACAAATGTTTAACAGCTGTAACTGTCTTAGCTGTTTCTTGACCAGCGTCATTTTATAAAATGATGATGCATTTTATAAAGCTGTTGTTTTTATTATTTTTTAATAATGTTTCATTTGATAAACATACTGTACTTGGTTAGGTAAAATTTGGGTGCGTAAACGTAATTCTTCCGGAGTTTCACTGCGCAGATCAATGAATAAATAAGAAAAAGGTTTCTTGGTTGCATCTTCATATACTTCTTGAAAAAACTTTAAATGACGCGGAAAGAGCTGTTTTCCTAAATGTACGATTTGACTGACATCTCTTCTGTTTTTACACAAAATCAAATAGTGTGCATTTAAAGTCACTTCACGCATTTCTTTTCCCTTGTGAAAAAAGTTTTGTGTGATAAAAATAACGCTTAAATTTAAATGATGACTTCCTTTTGTAAATAAGTTAGTCAGACGTTTATCATTCCCACATTCGCTCATCAAATCGTCTATGATGAATAATGTGTTGGAACCTAAATATTCTTGATATTTAATTGGTAAACCTTCGACAAAAGTAACATTCGGTATATCATTATACAGAGGTTGGTAAATTCCATAACACCATACTACTTTATCGGGAATCGTTGAAAACATTTCCTCTTTATACTTTAACAGTTCTCGTACAAAATAGGTTTTCCCACATCCAGTGGGTCCCGAAATCACCATTGTGAAAGGATGTTGTAGCTTTGGAAATTCCATATTAAATGAGACAAGACACATAATGTATAAAGTTTAAATGTATTTATTGATAGAAAGAAGATCTTACATGAAATTTCTTGATTACAAAATTATATACTTTAATATCATTAGATATATGTTGAGGTATGAAAGATAACAATATATCATTGAGAGATTGTCCACGACATTTACAATGTAAATAGTATATGCAATATTGACCACATACTGCTGTTACATTAGTTTGGAGAGTCATCGAATTAAAGTCCATCTGTGGAAATCGTTCTGCATACTTGGCTATCGGTCCAGGAAAATAGGATGGGTCATGTCCATAGGAATCGAAAAATTCTAAATGCTGTGGGGATGAAATGTAAAAGGCTAACCAGTGACTACCGGATTCAGATGCACGATCTACATTAGCTATAAAGCAACTTGGATATTTCTTGATCTCGATAGGGAGTCGATCACTTGCAAAAACTCCCAGAAATGCTTTTCGTGTCTTTGCATTCTGAGAGAGTGCTCTGTTTATTTCAAGGCTGTCCATTGCTTAATTAGCAAAATCGCATAGTACATGACGAGATTTTGTTATTTCAATCACGTTTTGAAATTCTGCATAGACTAGCACCGAGAGAGTCACAGAGAGAGAGCTTTAGCAAATTTAATTTCTACTCGCAAATTGCCTTGATGCTGTAAGTTAAAATGAGATCCATCACACATATCTGGAGTTAAATCGAAAGCATATAACACATGTCCTTTCACAAATTCTTCTCGAGATAAATAGATGCCTTTGTCGCGATTAAATCCAGAAAATAAACTGTGGTAAGCACGCACATAATGATTAGATTCGAAATCAAGGTCCATTGGTTTACATGGAACGGGTTGTCCATCTACATAAATCGATATAAAGTTGACATGATGATGGGCAAACAGAAAAGGGATTCATTGAATATTGTCCATTCATTGCAGCATTTTCTACACAAGTAATAATGACTCGCTTGGGCATCAATCCTAAAAATACATTATCTTGCATAAAAGACCAACTTCCCTTAGATACTGAATATGTTTTGCATAATACTCGATCTATAGGGTATTTAGCAGAACTTTTTTCCAACGCTTTTACATGTCCGAGAGAGACTCCAGGGTTTACTTTTACTTTTCTGATAAACAAAGAAGCATGATCCAAGATCACTTTATAATCGGCATCTTTCTCAGTAGAAACTAGACAGAAAGCAGATTTACTACGCACCATTTTAATTTTCACATCAACTAAATTTAACATGAGTCGATTTTGTTGAAAAATGTCACAATGTAATTGTCCTATCAAATCCACACTTTGACTGTTTTTTATAAGTTCACCGCGAGCTTTTAGTCCAGCATCCGCATCTTGAGCTAAGACATCTATTTTATTAGGTGAAGTGTCTTGGAAAAATCCTTCGCAGGTGAGTAAACTTTTCTTTGCATCTTCCCCATAATTCAATAATGTTTCGATGAAGGCTCTATAGGGATAGGTATTTGTCGCAGATGAAATGTTTCTTTCATTTAAACTTACATCTACTACTTGCGAAAAGAGAGAATGTAAAAATAAATTTACAGGGGCAACCGGTTCTTTGTCTGTTAGATTGGATCCGTCTGCCTTAACTACTTTAACTTTCACGTGTATATAAGAAGCAGCTAGATCAATATAGTCTTCACCACTGCCAGAAATATTAAATTCGATAGGTCCTCCATCTCGTATATTTGCGAGAGGGTGATATTCCACAAACTGTCCTTTTTCTATAGCTGTTTGCGTAGGAGGAATGGTAAATAAATCTAATTCAGATTTGACGCAAACGGGAGAGTCTCGATGAATATACGAAGTCATACTTTTTTTTTTAAGAGAAAATATCCTGTGCTTTCACCTTCTTTGATCGGTGAGAAATGGTACGCTTTTTCCTACGTTTCTGCTTTTTTTTATTGACTCGTCCAGAACCAATCATGTTCTTCACTTTAGTAGCAGCTTTATCCGTTAATATATTTCCGGCTTCTTTCAGTCGACGCTTAGCAGCCTCTTTTACATCTTGTCCTTGTGATACATCATTTAACAAATTCAGTCCACTATGCCATACTTGTTTTCCAATTGCTTTGGCTCCTGATTTAATAAGAGGTACGGCAGCGCGAAAGAAGGATCTGAATAGACCCCCTAATCCGTATCCTCTCTGATAAAGATTACCTTGATAATAATTCAATCCATGTCCTGTTTGTTGTACATAATAATCTTCAAAAGATTTTTGACAACACTGATAAGGTACATACATTATGACAAGTATTTTTGACGGAAATGAAGTTTCACGTATGACCTTCCTCGTTCAAATGGCGTAAATGCTCCCATATGCGTTCTTATATCGATTTCCAAAGTGTCTATCATTTTCCGATTCACAGGTAAATAATGAGGTCTATCAAATAGTGCACTCACCACTTCTCCATCGCTACCAGTTACTCTTACAATTCGAAGAAGAGGAGCTAAAACATCTCCTACGATTTGAGGTTCTACAATATCCGTATATATCATTAATACACGATAATGTGCACAGGGGTCGGCTGCAAAAGGACTTTCTACAACAGTTTCGGAACTATCATCTGTAGATGTAATTTCCATAGGTTCAAAACCTAACATTTGTGCTAACCCATCATGTAAAATCACTTTAGCGTTATTTTTCACTTTGATTTTCACTCGTTTTGTTACTGGGTTATAATTAAATAATTATTTTGTTTTGATGTTCTTTAATATAAATAGCTTTTAAAATATCAGGTACTGTTTCATAACATCCTGGAGGTAATCTACGACCTAACATTTCACCATCTTTCTCTAAAACAAATCCAATTAAGTTATTGTCTGCATTCACATTGTGCCATGTGTGCGGATATAGCAATTCAACCAAACCAACTTCCCACATACCTTTTAATTCAATGGGAACAGGTAAACGTGTTATAAAATGTGAAATTTTATTTTCGGGGAAATAATTCATAGAGCTATCGCTCGGAAGTGTTACGTAGAAACTCATTTTCACAAATGATTCGGATACAATATTTTCTCACACTTTATATCGAGAGTAAATTAGAAGCTGGAATCCATTGATTGAATTTGTCGGGATAACCGCGATATTTTACAAAGTATTCTGTCTGTTTCTTACGCATATACGTTTCTTTAAAATTTTTTCAATGCGATATTCCTCTTTCAGTCTCACTTTCTGCAACTCTTGTGCATAAAACGTTCCTTTTACTGAGTCTCCAAGTAAATCTTTAATTCTATACACGGCTGGATGTCTTTTAACACACTCTGTCACCACAAATAGTTCTTCCGTCCAATTGGTTTCATAGCCTTTTTCGAAAGTAAGCTTTAGTTTGGAAACACGTACCACATCTCCCTACAGCGAATATACATATACATTTAGAAACGTTAGAAGGATGATCTTCATACAAGGTAAACCATACATCACTCTCATTTTCTGAATTGACTTCTATGGGAGCTCGCTTTATACTTGAATGAAAAGTAGCATTATAACTTTCTATTAATTTGTCCAAGACATCTACATATTTATATGTATTTCGAGTCGTAAAGTATTTCCACATTTTTGTTTTCAAAGTGCGATTAAACCTTTCCACCACGGATGCTTTAGTAGTATTGAATGTATTGAAAAGTTTAACTTGATTTCTTTTTAAAAATTTTATAAACACTTTATTTTTAAATTCGGTGCCCTGATCCGTTTGAAGGAATTTTGGTTTACGTTGACTCATTATTTTTTGAAACGCTTTCACAATATCTTCTCCTCTCTTTTGTTTCAGAGGAACAGCCCATGCATATTTGGATAATATGTCAATACAGGTTAATATATATCGATAACCATCATTATGATCACGTAAATGTGAAACATCCACTAAATCAGCTTGCCATTGTTGATCTATAGAATACACGATTACTCTATTCGTTGGAAATTTTCGGCGAATCGTTTGTGAAGCGTGTACGCATTTATTCCCTGTAACCATGTTTGAATCTCTTTCCTGGAAACTTTACCTCCTGCAGCACGATGTAAAGCTTCAACACACCACCAAAACTTGCAACATGAGCCGGATCCTGATACGATAAATTCATATTCATAACCTATTGAATTATTCTTCATATGGATAATGATAAATTCCCACTGTCGTTAAGACGTAGCGTAAAATCAATAGGAATTTTATGAAATTCTGTAAAAATATAGATGGATGATAAAATAACACATAAAACAGTGTATAAACACACACCGCAACGGTGGCTTCTCCTGGGGCAGGCATAATTGCAATTGATGAGCTGATTCAAATTCCATTTTCTTATATAGGCTTTTTTTACCTGAATCTGAATGTATCCCGTCAGCTTAGTGGTTAAAATCTTCAAACTACTGAGCTGGTGAGATATTTTGTTTGAGAGTTCAATTCTATATTTTGAATCATAGAACATTTTTTTAATAAAAGAAACTTCTAAAATAAATTATTTTCTTTTTTCGTCCCTAGAGGACGCCATGAGCAATTCCTAAATAGATTATTTTCATTTTTCATCCCTAGCGGACGCCATGACCCCGTTGCCAATTTAAAAAAAAAACTAACTTTAAATGAAAAGCAGGAGGTCTACAACTCAATCAGCAATCTACCAACACCTCAACTCCACTCGTCACCCCGCCTACTAGTGTGATGACGTTGCCTTTGGCCCCGCCTTCTGTGTGACGTCGTTGACCACGCCCACACCGCACACCGCGTGCAGCAGAACCCGTATTTTTATACTACTGACGTCGCTAATTCAAAGCTTAACTAAACATTTCGAGAACCGAAACTTTCTCTTAATAAGCTGCTTTTTTGGGTAACTGAGCACTTTGCTTCTACCTCTGTTGTCACTAAGACGCTGCTTGCTGCTTTTCTTCTTATCGCAACAATATATAAAACATAACTGCTCTGGAACAGGAACGATTAATGTGCAAATATTTGTGGCCGCAAAATAGTTAATTTCTATAAAAGAAATGTGATTTAAATTCGCTACGACTGAGTCTTATTGCATCTATATGACTTCCAAGTTTCTTCTTCATTCCGTATGCGATTCTGCTACGTACGTTTCAACATCTATCTGTGTCATTCCCAGATCATCACACTTTATATACATGTGTGCATGTACGTGTGTGTGTACCTGAATAATTTAGAAGAGGAGATTCAGATACTTGCAAACATGGCCGATACAACACAGTTTTCTTTGTTCTTGAGGAGCAAAAGCTTAATATTAGTGACACATTGTAATATACGCAAAGTGCACGTCCTTTCTTGATTACTCGTGCATATTTTCTACATTATGACTGCATGACTGATGGAAAAGGTAAGTAAACAGCAACATGTTCGCAGGACAGCAAAAGCAAGAATAGGAATGCGACGTACCCCAGAATGAGCCAAGTCGAGCTCAAAAGGATTGAGTTTCACTTCCGAATTTTCTTGTTGGATATTATTAAAATGTTTCGGTTCCAATTGAAATACTATTCGCTGAAGCGTTTATATTAATACCTGCATCAGTAGCGTTATGTAAAAATCATATGACTTGGATTATTTTGAAAATGATGCAGTTTAGAGAAATTTACTTAAAGCAAGTTACTATTTTCAGGACAGAAAGAGGAATTACCAAACTAAAATGGAGAAAGGGACTATTGCAAATTAAAGTCAGAATTTGGCTTTACAATTTCATATATATGTGTGTGCGTGCAACGAACTTTAACCGAGAGGATACACATTATACTGAGTAAAATAGCATCCTAATCATGAATAAGTGGTTAGTGACCGAAACGCCGTCGCATGGACCTTCGACCTAAGGTTCTACACCAATCAGAGTTATGTCCATGCGACGGAAAAGAATCTACCATCCACCGCCGGCGGCATTCACTGAATAATATTACAATGTTAGTATATTACAATGTATTATTGATAGTAATATTACAATTGAGTCAATAAGTATTTACAATGCTAAATTGACAATGTCATCTATACAAAAATTGTTACATAATAATCCGTATGAAAAATAAATATGCAATCAATTAATCACTACATTGTCATTGATCTATATTGTGGAGAGTGGAATTGATATATTAACCAGTTTTTAAACCTATGTCTTCTTCAATACGTCATAACTTCCTATTCTTATCAGTTACACATCCTAATGATGTATGTCCTTAGCAATTTGCACATTATTGTTGCAGTTATCCACAGAGTAGGCCAGTCACATCAGTTTAGGCAGTTGAATAGTTCCATAGCCCAAAGTATATATGATGTTGTGTAGACTACTCTATGTTTATATAAACTGGATTCCAAGTTAACGTTTTGATAAATTCGAAGTGCACTTTTGTTAAGTTCATTGTTCATGTAAATACGTTCTTATACCACTTCGATACATCATAAACTTCGTGCCCTTAGCAGTTTGCACACCTCATTATGTGTGTCCATAGCAATTTGCACCTGTGTCGCAGTTATCCACAAAGCAATTAAGAAATTGCAGTTGGGAAGTTCATAGTAATACATAGTACACTATTTACTATTATTCCACAAAGCAAATGTTGTGTAAATAATAACTTGGCTCCCAAATGATTAAAAAAAAGAAAAGAAAACTTAATTCTTAAAATTTTTTTTCAATACAATTCTAAATCGTGCAAAACGACAGATTTGTCATACAATTCCAGTCTATGCAAATTGACTGGTATTCCAACAATATAAAGCACATATTCTAAAAATGCTATTATTTATTCCATTACATGTATCTAATTGTTTAAAAAGGCTACAATAATACACAATTTCTTCAAGTAGTTAAAAACGTCTACTGTAAAACAGAAACTAATTCCCAATTATAATAGACATAAAATACATTATTATTCAGTACATATTATTTACCAATCGATCATACCATAAAAATACACACGTTTTAAATGCTGCAACTAATTTTTCATTACAGTTAGAATATTTACCAAGCAATGAAACTACAAATGTACATGTTTAAGAAAAAAAAAGCTGCAACTAATTTTTCATTACAGTTAAAATAATAAATTTTTACTATACAATTCTAAATAGTACAATTAAACAATTTCAGTCTTTACAAATTGACAGTAACTACTATATACTCTATGACTACAATATAAGAGCACATATTCAAATATAGCTAATCATTCTTGTAAAATGGCTATAATAGTGTCCAATTTCTTCAAATAATTAAAAACATCTACAGAAAAACAGGAACCAATTCCCAATTGTAGCAAACATGAAATACAAAATATTATTCAGCACATATTATATACCAATCAGTTATACCATATAAATGCACATGTTTCAAATGCTACAACTAATTTTTCTTTACAGTTAGAATAGTTATTAATCCATCATAATATATATAAATGCACACTGACTGCCGTAGCGATGGGCTCGGGTTCGAATCTCGGAGAAGGCAGAGTTGCAGCTGTCCGTCCCTTCATAGGAGGCAACGGTGGCTACCCATTAGGTGCTTCCATAATGAAATGGCCACCACTTTCGGCCCTTGTAGCTGTGCAAGGCTAGTGGCTATTAAATAATGTGCCCGGCCATTAAAAAAAAAAAAAGAAAAAGAAAAAAGTTTTAAATATATAATTCTACTTCTGCTTAATTTTATTTATTCTTCTTTTCATCATTAGATATATATTTTTGTTAAACTGCAGATTATTTTTT